CCTTCCAAGTAGCTGGAACTACAGGCACACGCCACCATGCCCAGCTAATTTTTTGATGTACTGTAGAGATGAGGTCTCACCAAGTTGCCCAGGCTGGTCTCGAACCAGAGGGCTCAGGCAATCCTCTCACCAAGGTAGGAGAAGGGGCCAAAACTTGAGAAACCACGGCCTGGCCCTAGCTCAGAGAGCACATGGCCACACATAGTAAGGCAATGGCCAGATTCTATTATCTTATCCTTGGTTTATCTGAATCTAAAAGTTCTGTTCACAAGAATAAAATATGTCACTGCAAACAGACAAAAACCAAGCCAAATGTCCTAATGTCAAGATGTGCAAAGACATTTCATACTCTTGGAGATAGCTTCTGAGTTCCACACTAATGCTAGACAGGAAGTCAAATAGAAGAATTAGCAGGCAAGGATAAATACACTACATACTTACATACACAAGAACATACATATATGATATACGCATATATATATAAATCTAAAGGAGAGCCAAGTATGACAAGCATAAAACTCATAATGTCACTTATTGAATTTAGCATATTCTGTTCTCAGGTAAGATTTTACATAACCACCATTACAACCCTCTTAAAGGATAACAGAATTCTAATTCTCCCCTATTTAACAGATGAAGAAATCAAGTTCCAGAGATAATAATTTATACAATGTCACATAACCAGAAAGAGACAAAGCCAGCTCTAGAACCTAGGTTTGACTTCAAATCTGTAATCCTTTTTCCTCTATCTTGAAGGTTCTGCTTTCCATTATGATTCATAAACTTGTTGGGGCGCAGAGACAGGACTAAGAAAACTTCTTTCCAACAGAAATGCAATTGTGTTTTGTTTTGTTTTTTGAGTTGGAGTCTCACTCTGTTGCTCAGACTGAAGTGCAGTAGCTGCTCCCGGCCACCGCAGCCTCAACCTGCTGGGCTCCGGCGATCCATCTGCCTCAGCTTTCCAAGTTGCTAGAACTACAGGCGCCCACTACCACGCCTGGCTAATTTTTTGATTTTTATTGTAGAGATGAGGTCTCGCCAAGTTGCCCAGGTGGGTCTCGACCCCGCGGGCTCAGGCAATCCACTCATCTCAGCCTCCCAAAGCAAGGGATTACAGGCTTGGCCACCGAGCCTGGCCACAATTGTCTTAAGAACCTCCCTAAGAAATTCCTCAAATAACCAAGGAAGATTAATCAGAGAAAAGGACAGAATATAGCCGTCACCATTTCCAGAAAGTCTTTACTTCTAAGGGCAACTCTTAGAGATTCCTGGGAGACTCTATCTACATAATAATACCTCTCTGATCGTGAAGTTCCATCATCTCTCACCACATTTTCTCAGTTCATTGTAATTTGAACTAATTCATTTCACCTAAAAATAATTGACTGCCCCTCTAAAATTCCCTATAGCCCCCTACCACTTCCAGCTCTCCTATGAGGAGAGTGTTCAAGCCTCAACTGCCTGCTTCTTCTCTGAGTTTCATAGTTGCAGGACTCTCGTGTTTATGCACTTAAGAAATTTGTATGCCTTTTTCTCCTACTAATCTTACTACAGTCAGTCAATTCAGAGAACCTTTAGAGAGGGCAGAAAGGATGCCCTCTATACTTTTATAAACCCGTTTCACCTGTTAAACCTAAGAAAACTGAATTTCCCACAAAACTCTGTGTTTCTAGATATATCAATGTAAAAAAAAACTTCTTCAACCTATCACCAAATGTTAAGATACTGTCAGAAGACAGAAGGATCCACATAAGCCTCCCGCTGTCTGAACAGAAAGAAGGATAAAAAGGGCAGCGAACCAGTTGTGATTTACTGGGTTCATTAATCAGATTATACAAAATTATAGCAAAACAAACCACAAAGGAATGCAAGACAATATTTGGAGACCCTTCTCCCCTGGTATTCACGTACTCTGGCTTCTAAAGGCAGCTGATAAAATGACATACAGAACAGTGTTTGTGGGAACAACAACGGAGACCACAGGGAGACCATCCTTACACTTCAATGCAGACTATGCATTTGCAAGCAGTCCTGCCTTTCAGAAACCTTCAGTGCTTTGGGTCAACTGTTTGGGGTTAAATCACAACTTGAAACAGTAAGAATTTCAAGTGGAAAAATAAGCTCTTTCCCTTATATGCCAGCTACCAATTGTTTGTCTTTCAGCTCAAATTCACCGTTGCCTGTAATGTGAAAACAGATCTGGTCTAGTCAAGTATTTCAGCTAGCACAATGTTAAACTTTGTCAGTATTGGGCACTGTAGAGATACTCTAGGAGGAAAGGGTTTTGATCTCTGGTTCCTATGAGTTTCAGCAGCCCCAATAGGGTCTCCAAAAGATGGCTTCTCCAGTGACCAGATCCCCTGGTGGGCATAGCTTCTCAAGCGCCAGGTTCCTGCTGCAGCCAGCACACAGAAGGCAGCAGCACCAACTGCCAATAGCTACCCTTGGTACTCACTCAGGGAGTTCTGTAGCATAGCACCTCTTCTAAGAAACCTCCTAAGGAACAACTTTCCCTTAGCACCCTAGAAGGTAGATTTCTGACAAGTTCCAGAGAGTGATGTTTCAGTAAGTTCCACTGACATGGCATCACTGTAGTTCAGAAAGTCACATCACATCCTCTCCAACAAGGTCTAGATCTTAGCACAGGGTGAGGGAGCAGTCTCTCAGCTAACACTACCATGGAAAAAGGGGTACATGGTTTGATAGGTTTTTTTGGGTTATAGGAGCAATGAATACAAAATTTAAATGTGTTACTGTAATGATCTACAGAGTCACCAGGCAAAAGTTTCCAGTTTTGAGCAAGGTACAGAATAAAAGAAGGATCTGCAGGTTAGGTTGCAGTGAAAGCTGGCTGACCACTCGGGACTTATGATTCAGCAGATCCAATGTTATCTGAATTATCTTCTGTTAAAAGGACATGCTATGCTATAAGGAACCTTTACCCAGTGTGCACTGTAGCAGCTCTTGGCTGCAGGAGATTGGTGACGAAGCAAGCCTTGTCCAACTTTTCACAGGGCAAGTTTGCATGAAGTTCCAGAGAAAAGAGTTTCAGCAAGATCTCCTGTAGTACTACAGGGACTTTTCTACCATTAGTTGAGTTACAGCCTTGGGCTCAGCCCTAGAGAGAAAGTCTCTTCTATGGGTGCTCTACTCAGTTCTACAAGCAGCAGTTGCTCCTTATATTGCTACTCCTATATTCTTGACAGTTGTCTTTCATATACCCAAATCCTCATTATTCTAACCCCCTGTTATATGCAATAATCCTTCATATTAACTCTCCCTATTCAAATTACTGTATAAGTTTTTCCTCCTGATTAGACTTAAATTAATATACCAATAGGTTGGGTAATTCTTTTCAGTGCTACAAAAACCAACACATGAGCCTCATTTAAACAATTAGGAGTTCATTTTGTCATGTTTTCAATATTTAAAATTCAAAATCATATAAAAATGATTTAGACCAAGTTTAGGCATAGCACTAAGTCAATGACAGACTAACTTATACATTCTATAATATGGTTATTTCAGTCATGGTTTAGCAAATTGTACATTTCTTCTCCAAACATTCTATAGTGTAAATTATCATCAGTTCCTAGCTTATAATCACTACCTCTAGCATTATTTTTGGTAATCAAATTCTAGAGGTTGAAAATATGGAGGCCAAACTTAAAACTAATGTTATGAAAATAATTTTCAGTATCAGAAAGAGTAGATTTCACATGTAAATACTAAATACTGACAATCTTAAACAGTTGGGTCAAAGAAATTAGCTTGACTCATTCCACATTCCAATAAAGAACTTTATAATCCTAACCTGCTCTTAATCACAAGAATATCCAAACAAACCTGTGGTGGTGGGTTGGTATAAGCTAAACAAGACCTAAAGATTTTACCCAAAAAGATGCAGGAGACGGTAGCAGATTAAGTACTGTAAAGCAAATCAGTGCTTTATGGGGTATTTTTTTGTTTCTGTTTTGTTTTTGAGTTGGAGTCTCACTCCGTCGCCCAGACTGGAGTGCAGTGGCCGCTTCCAGCCACCACAGCCTCGACCTGCTGGGCTCCGGC